TGGAGGGAACGGCAGTCTGGAGCCCTCCTTCCTGAGCGAAGGCAAAGATGTGTGAGCCGGAGGCTAAAAGACTGTGAGCTGGCTCACACTAACTCAGCTTGGAGGGAACGGCAGTCTGGAGCCCTCCTTCCTGAGCGAAGGCAAAGATGTGTGAGCCGGAGGCTAAAAGACTGTGAGCTGGCTCACACTAACTCAGCTTGGAGGGAACGGCAGTCTAGGAGCCCTCCTTCCTGAGCGAAGGCAAAGATCTGTGAGCCAGAGGCTAAAAGACTGTGAGCCGGCTCACACTAACTCAGCTTGGAGGGAACGGCAGTCTGGAGCCCTCCTTCCTGAACGAAGGCAAAGATGTGTGAGCCGGAGGCTAAAAGACTGTGAGCTGGCTCACACTAACTCAGCTTAGAGGGAACACTGCTCTGGAGCCCTCCTTCCTGAGCTAAGACAAAAATGTGTGAGGCGGAGGCTAAAAGACTATGAGCCAGCTCACACTAACTCAGCGTAGAGGGAACACTGCTCTGGAGCCCTCCTTCATGAGCGAAGGCAAAGATGTGTGAGCCGGAGGCTAAAAGACTATGAGCCGGCTCACACTAACTCAGCTTAGAGGGAACACTGGTCAGGAGTATTTACGCCACTGCGATGTTCCCTCTAAGCTGTAGAGTCTTGAGAGCAAAAAATCCTACTTTGTGAGCTCCTGGCCTTGAAGTTGTGAGCGACCGGTTTGGCTGCTGCATAGATCTGTCTGCTCTGGAGCCATCCCTTCCTGAGCTGAAATAAAAATGTGTGAGCCAAAGGCTAAAAGACTGTGAGGTAGCTCACACTAACTCAGCTTAGAGGGAACACTGGTCAGGAGTGTTTACCCCACTGCGATGTTCCCTCTAAGCTGTGGAGTCTTGCGAGCAAAACTTCTACTTTGTGAGCTACCAGCATTAAAGTGGTGAGCGAGCGATTTGGCTCCTGCATAAATCAGTCTGCTCTGGAGCCCTCCTTTCTGAGCTAAGACAAAGATGTGTGAGCCGGAGGCTAAAAAACTGTGAGCTAACTCAGCTTAGAGGGAACACTGGTTACCTGTCATCCACGCTGCCCTTGAGGTGCGGGACGAGCAGCGGGCCTGGCGTCGTTTGCTCCTGCTTGGGAGCTCAAGAGCAGGCTGGAGGGAAAGAAGTGAAGGGCTAAAGAAAAGAGTCCTAGGAGATCCCAATCGCTTAATGGGGCCGTGGCGCTGGGGGAGGAGGCTTAAGACTGCAACCCTAAAGACACTTTTCTGGACTGGAAGTAAACCCCATTGAATTACATGGGATTTACTTCTGAGTGGAACTGCTTAGAATTGCTACCTTCTTCCCTGCTGTTTTCCCTGCCTGAAATAGCCCGGAGAAACCGGTATTTGACCTCAAGTTTACACAGGTATTTTGCCCGGAAATTTCAGGTCTGAAAAACTATGCCGTGGGAAGAGGATTAAATCTGCCTTCATGAATCCCATTCAATCAACGGCAGAGTAAACATGCATGGGGTCAGGTTTACAGAATGGGTGCCAGAAAATCTTCAGTTCGAAACATTTTGCATCCCGTTTTACAGGATGGAGCCAAGCATACTAGCCAAGATTACAGAACAGTTGGCATGACTGAGATAACGCGCGCAATGAGTTTTGAACGCATGAAATGTACTACACAAACGTTATTAAGATCTCCAGCAGCAAAACGCAAATATGAAAAAAAAACCATATCCATGCAAGTCCTAGTGTATTTTTTAAAGCATTTACATCAGTATACTTTAAAAAATGTAATTATCATCCGGACAACTTTATAGAAAACAAAATTCAAATATGCGTGGGATAGAATTTGGGGCTCGGTTGCAAAATCTTCCAAGCTTGTCTCTTAAAACCGAAGTCATCCTATGAGCCTGCTGGGTATAGTATTGTTAGGGGGTGAAATTGACTAACAGTGAAAAATCCAGTGTAGAATTACACCAGCCTACGCCTAGTGAAACCAATGGGCATGGACTGAAACAACTTTGCATAGGCCAACTTTGCTACACACAATAAATAAAAGAGCGCGAACGGAGAGTTGCTTCCAGGTATCGCTGTGAAGGAGAGGAAATAGATATTGAAGCCTCAGTGCATTCTGGGTCCAAGAAATTACGATCGAGTTACAGCTTTATGCATATGTTAAATTCCATTCTGGAGCAAGTCAATGTTTGGCTAACGTACAACCTGGTCGGGGTTTAAAAAAAAACAACTTTAAATAGTGCGTTGTTTTCGGTGCTTTACGGTTAGAAAGAGCTGTGAATATAGCTTGATTGTCTGATTCTCGGTATGTGTACCCGGGCGAGCTTGAGCAGTGGGAACTAAGGTTTTGTGCAGTTAGACATATGGTCTTTTTTTGTTGTTGTTAAAGTTTTATTGTTTTTTGCATAACAATATAACATTGAAATGACATATGGTCTTTATTAAGGTGCCAGTTTGTTACATGAAAATAAATAAGAGGAGAGAAAAGAAAATGGTAGAAAATGAAGATGAATGCTGTCTCTCTAGCCACTTTATTTTTCTGTGTGTTAGAATCTGGAGCGGGTAGAATGGGAATGCTAGGCTGATTAACGGTGTGGTGAGAAAAAGGAAGTCTTGATTTCCCCCTCCCCCCCAAGGTGTTAACTACTGCATGCTCTGAATTGGTTTATTATGGAGGTGTAGATACAAGATTATATCCCTCCAAAATTAAATGTATAATGTAGTTCTAGGTCCATGGACACAGATTTTCACCATTAAAAATAAGTTTTATCAGCATTCTTTCTTGGCTAAACACAGAAAAGTGATTAATTATGGTGACCGTTCTGTTCAGTCCTCTTCCAAGGCATTTTCTGAGTTGCTAATGCAAAGCAGATCTTTAAAGAATGTATGTGTGATAATTTTTTTAAAAGCCCTGCTTCTGTTCTGCATTTATTAAAGAATTTTCACACATTAGGCACCAGTGTTTGAAGGTGCTCTTGTCAGTGTGAAAGGACTCTGAGAATGCTTTTACATGTGGTATGGGCAGTAGGACTCTGTTTATTCTGAGGAGAGCCTCACCTGAGTTCCATGAGACTTACTCCCTTATATTTGTACAGGGGTCATTTCGTAGAAAAAGAGGTGCAGGAGCTCATTAGCATAACTCATTTGCATATGCCACACCCCCTGGCATCACTGGAAGTGTGTCAGAAGGCAACACCCACTGCTCAGGCTCCACTGGACTCTTTTGGATTGTTAGCTATTGGGGGGGGGGGGGGCGTGGAGGACGTTGGTAGCTACCGTTTGGTGGGGGGGGGGGACGTGCAGATCTGTCCTCGCAGAGGAGGGAGAGCTTGTACCTGAATAAAACCTGGTCTTAAAGGTGCCACTGGACTGTTTTGGACTGGGGACCGGGGTGAGCTCTGCAGCTTAACTGGCTGCTGCTTGCTCTGACTGAGGGCTGCTGGGAGCAGGGGGTGGGGCTTGTTGCATGTGCCCGCCCCCTGGGCTCTTTACTGCTGGAGCTCCGCTCCTGTGTGCTCCTGCAGAAAATTACCCCTGTTTGTGCATGCCCAGGGTCATATCTTTAAGTCGCATTTAAGCCTTTTCTGAACCAGGACCCACCATTCACTCCTTCAAAGGTCCTACTTATATTGGGATTTTTCAAACTGTGAATGTCCATCTTTCTCTAGGTGTGCAGAGTTTGAACAGTTATTCATTTTTCAAGGTACCACTTAAGGTTGCTGTGTGGTTAAGACACTGAACTGCAGATCAGAAGGTCGGTAATTCAGCAGTTCGAGACCCAAGTGCCACATGACGGAGTGAGCTTCTTTCTCTGGCCCCAGCTCCTGCCAACCTAGCAGTTCGAAAGCAAGAAATTGCAAGTAGATAAATAGGTACCACTTCGGTGGGAAGGTAACAGCGTTCTGTGCACCTCGGCGTCTAGTCATGCTGGCCACATGACCACAGAAACATCTTTGGACAGCGCTGGCTCTTCGGCTTGGAAACGGAGATGATTACCGCATCCCTAGAGTCAGATTCGACTGACTTTTGAGCAAGGGAAACCTTTACCTAAGCCCAAAGCATTTGCTATTAGAGTTGGCCACTGCCACATGCTGTTTCTGGTACCCTTTCTACTACCAAACCGATGTTTGTTCAGTTAGCCGTCCTTAGAAGGGATTGTTTACTTGATGCATACCTATATAAATCACTGCTATGGACTCACCCCCTTCCAATCTGGAAGCAGAATAGTGATTTCTAAAGGAGGAGATTCCTCTAGCCATTGGGTCATTTCTGTTATTTCACATTCTAAAAGCAAACTTTTTGAGAGGTATATGTGTGCTTCCAACTTAATTAAAGAAAAAAGTATATTTCAGCTTCCAGAAGCTTGGGAAACACTGACTGGAGGTGATATTCTTTTTCCGACCTTCTTCTGGCCCAGTGGCCTAACCTTAGTGCAGCAGAGCTCATTTTTCGTTTTTTTTAGAGAGCCAGTTTGGTGTAAGTGGTTAAGAGTGGTGGACTCTGATCTGGAAAACCGGGTTTGATTCCCCACTCCTCCACATGCAGCTGTTGGGTGACCCTGGGTTAGTCACAAGTTTTTTCAGAGCTGTTCTCTCAAGAGCAGTTCTCGCAGAGCTCCCTCAGCCCCTCCTACCTCACAGGGCATCTGTTGTGGGGAGAGGAAGGGAAAGGAGACTGTAAATCGCTCTGAAACTCTGAGTGAAGGGTGGGGGTATAAATCCAATCTCTTTTTCTTCTTTAATTACTAGTGTGTCTCCCCCCCCCCCTTTAGTTTCAGCAAGTAGGGAACATGACCGCGTGGCAAAAGAAGACACCTCTGGAATGGCTGACGTATGTGAATAAAGAAGTCGGAGTTCTGGCTGCTGAGAAACACAAATATCAAGGGTGGGTCTTAACAGTTGACCCAGTATCAGCCAAGTAAGTAAGAGCCCGGCCTGCATGCAAGTATGAAAACAGTGACAAAGCATCAGTTAAAGAGTTATTTTCACCAGAATGGAAAGAACTAGTGTCAGAAAAAAACGTATTTAAATATCGTATGTAAAACCGATCTCACCTATTGCTTCTGGAATGATAGCAGTGTATTTCTACTGTGAAAAGATGTTTAACGTAGTGTGGCTGCACACTTCAAGTGACAGACTGGCCGGTGACCAACCAAATACAGGCATAGAGTTCTTTGCTTTGAACTTTTTGTAAATTAGGACAGCTTAAACAAGGTAGTGGAGAGGAGGGGCATGTTAATTCAAGGCACTGTGGGAGTTGTCCACTGGGAAATTGTCAGGGTTCGCCTCAGTATGAGAGGTGGAGTATGGCCTAGTTTAAAAACAAAAAAAAACCCCAAACTTCCAAGGCCTCAGCTCTATGTGGCAGATCCGTCAAGGAGCTCTGGAAAGAAGCCCTGGTCAAATCTGCATTTGCATTTTTAAATCAGTTTTGTGCTGCTGTGACACCGTCTTTCTCTATGCTTGTTTGAACGTTGTTTGGAGAAGAGTCATTTAAAGCCGTGCGGAGGCGCAATGACAGTGGAGCCGCTACGAGAGGGTGATAAACATATGCAGACGTGCAAAAGTATGCTAGCACTGTTGAGGTGTGAAAACGAAACCAAATGTAGACAGCTTTTTTGAAGACAGAGTCAGAAGGCTGGAACACCGGTGGGAAAGACAAATGCAGTTTCGACCCCTGTGTTTTAGTTCCACATGAGTGAGACAGAATGCAGTTGCTTGTCGGTGCAAGTTTTGGAACACATTGTCTATGTTCATTGGCACTCTTACTTTTCTTCTGTTAAAGAAATAGTTATATACCACCTTTCTGTCTGACAACAGGCCTCAAAGGCAGCTCACAATAAAAGAAGACTGAGTTACAATGAATAAGACTGTGTTAAAAAGCGGTGGTAACTGTTATAGTGTCACTGATTCCATATAAGAATAAAGTAGAATATATAGTTCATATCTGGACATGGCCAAGGGTAGAAGGGGTGGTGGTAAATGGATGCGACTTACTTTTTATTGTCTCCTGCTTAAACGTAGCAGTTCGAAAGCAAGAAATTGCAAGTAGATAAATAGGTACCCCTCGGTGGGAAGGTAACAGCGTTCCGTGTGCCTCGGCGTCTAGTCATGCTGGCCACATGACCACAGAGAAGTCTTCAGACAGCGCTGGCTCTTCGGCTTGGAAACAGAGATGAGCACCGCATCCCTAGAGCCGGATTCAACTGGCTTTCGAGCAAGGGAAACCTTTCTCTCCAGTGGGGACTGAAAGCAGATTGCATTGTTCTCTTTCTTTTTATAACAACCCTGTCACGTGGGTTAGCCTAAGAGTACATTACTGGCCCAGGGTCATCCAACAAGCTTCCATGGCAGAGTAAGGATCTGAACGTGGGCCACCTAGATCCTGGGTCCAACATTCTGTCCACTTATACTGCACTCACCATACTGGTTAAAAGATAACGGCTTGGTTGCGATGACTTTCTTCCCCTTGTGCTTCTCTTCAGCTGTGGTGCTCGCTTCCTCTGTTATTAGCACTTCCATCTGTGCAAGATCAATGTTCTTCAGTGTTACCATGGATACTTACGGGCCCAAGCCAATAGGTGGAGCTACCAAGAGTTACCTGCAAAGAATTTTACTTTCACCACTGTTTATGCTGCATCAGTTTTGTGGGTGTTGAACACTAAAAGGAATGCATCTTCCAATGGTCAGGTCCCCCTCCCCACAACATACACCCTGTGAGGTAGGTGGGGCTGAGAGAGCTCTGACAGAAACTGCTCTTTTTCAAGGACAGCTCTGACAGAACTATGGCTTGCCCAAGGTCATCCAGCAGCTGCACGTGGAGGAGTGGGGAATCAAACCTGGTTCTCCCAAATTAGAGTCCGCGTACTTAACCACTGCACCAAACTGGTAGTGGTTGCTTCCTGAAGCCATTGTATAGCACAGGACAGGGCCGAAAAAGGCAACTCAGCAATGGTAAGGCTAGAGACAGCTTTCCCAATAAGATCAAACTTTTCTCTCAGCCCCACCTACCTCACAGGGTGCCTGTTGTGGGGAGGGGAAGGGAGAGGAGTTTGTAAGCCACTCTGAGACTCCTTTGGGTAGTGAAGGGCGGGGTATAAATCCAGTCTCCTCTTCTTCTTCTCTCTCAGCCCCACCTAACTCACAGGGTGTCAGTTGTGGGGAGGGGAAGGGAAAGGAGATTGTAAGCCGCTCTGAGACTCCTCTGGGTAGTGAAGAGCAGGGTATAAATCTAATCTCCTCCTCCTCCTCTTCCTCCTCTTCTTCTTCCTCTTCTTCTGTGTACAGCAAGTGATGCTGGGAAAATAATTGTCCTGTTGACAGGAGGTCCTGGGCTCAGCTATTGCATGTCTACAGGTTGTGATTTTTCATTGAGGCAATTGGCTGCAGCATCTTGATCTGAATACTTAACTAGCGCTGCCACTTAAAGGAGGGAGTCACTGGGGCTTGTAAGTGTGTTTGAATGGGACACCTATATATTGTTTTTAACATGCGACTTTTTTGGGGGGGAGAGGGAAGAGGTCTTGCTCCTTATCAGACTTTGCATCTCTATCCTTTGGCAGTATTCTCCTGGCGCATCCTCTTGAGAATGGGAAAATGTCCATTTCAGCAGTCCTGGGCCATGCAGTGCAAGATGTTGAAATACTGACTGAAGCAGATGATGAGATGAAAGAGAAGCTTGCACACCTCTTCATGCCTGAAGAGATGCGAAGGTGTAGTCAAGAAGAGCTGGAGAGAAAGAAAACCAGTCTGAAGGATTGGCTGGAGACAAACCATATTCCTGTGAAAGAGAAAGGAGAGTCACAAACAACGCTGTGTGTTGCAGGAGTATTAACTATTGACCCACCCTATCGGCCAGAAGACTGCAGTAGTTCCAATGAAATAATTTTGTCCAGAGTCCAAGGATTGATACAGGGTTATCTTGCACTTCAGCAATGTCAGATATAGTTCTCAAGCAGGGGAAGAAGTTTAATTTACTTGTCAATGAACTGCCTTTTCTCTCCACGGTCTGGCTTTTAATCGTTGTCGAAATATTTGTCGCTGTTGAAGTTAAAATCTCCTGGTTCACGGAACAGCCAGCTTAATTGGAAGCAATGTGCAGGCTGCATATAAAAGTTAGATTTTGCCTGACTTTGCCTTTCGTTTTGGGATCCTGGAACTGGTCTTTCTCCAAAAGAACAATTTGTAGGCTTGTATGTGAAAATGTCCCAACAAGAATATCACAGCTGCTAGTACTTCCTCTTGTCATCCAGCTATAAAATATTTATGAATCGTCTGTATTGAAATAGTCCAGGCACTGTCCATTCATTAAAGATCTAAAGCACACCATACAGGACAATCAGTTTTCTTTAATATCTTGTTCAATTAGCAGGGGTTATTTCCTGCAGGAGCGCACAGGAGTGGAGCTCCAGCAGTAAAGAGCCCAGGGGGCGGGCACATGAAACAAGCCCCCCCGGCCCAAAACAGTTCAGTGGCACCTTTAAGACCAAGTTTTATTCAGGTACAAGCTCTCCCTCCTCTGCGAGGACAGATCTGCACGTCAACGTCTCCCCCTAATAGTTAGCAATCCAAAACAGTCCAGTGGAGCCTGAGCGGTGGGTGTTGCCTTCTGGCACACTTCTGGTGATGTCAGGGTATGTAGCATATGTAAATAAGTTTTGCTAATGAGCTCCTGCACCGCTTTTTCTATGAAATGACCCCTGTCAATTAGAGTTTGTGAATGAAAAATTGCCTGCAACTGCTACATTCTGCCTTCCCCCTCTGAAACCAGCTTTGTATTTACCAGTAAGTAGTATGTTTAAGCGGTATGTTTAAAGATGACAACATTTGTTGAGTATGAGAATCCTTGAAGTTCTGCTGGGAAGCCAAAGATTATGGCAATATGTTTTAAGAGTAGGAAGTTTTCTTTTATTTGTTAAAGTGACAAGGTGGTGTTGGAGAAACTGGCAAAAATACTTAGATATTCAGAGTTTGCAATGGATCTTTGCTTTACTGGAAGAGGAGGCATTTCTTTCCGTGTAAAAATGATTGGTAACTGGAGCAAAAGCCTCGAAGTAGTCAGTCCCATATTCTTGTGAATAGCCTTTGGCTACTAGGCGTGCTTTGTATAGTTCTACAGCCCCATCATCTTTATACTTTGTTTTGAATACCCATTTGCATCCAACAGGCTTTGTTATATAAAATAAGACACAGTGACACGAAAGCCATCATGAAGAAAAAAGGCTACTGAAAATGAAAATGGGAATACAGTGAGTAGGGACTACATTTGAGAGATTTCTTACAGAGACAAAATATACTGGTTAACTTTGATCTACAGTTAAAGGTTTGAGAAATCAAGATTTAAATGTGTGAAGAAGACATAACGAAATACACCACTCGGAGTCACTGGAACAAGCACTTGTACCATGTTGCAGCATATAGGATGACCATCACTATTGTTCGCACAGTTTATGAAACACTTTGTACTCTGCCACTGACTAACAGGTTTGACTTAGTATGTCCACTTAGCTCTTCCATGGTGCATATGTTAAGTGCCATTTATGATTCTGACATCATGAATGTATTCAGGTATTAACTTTGGTTCATTTGTGACAGTTGTTTGGATGCATGCCGGGAGGGTAAAATGCTGAAAGAACAAAATGTCAACTTGCTATTTTTGCTGAGGCTTGCGGCCTTGACAGCCCAGCCTAACTGCGCAAGTTTGCCTAGCTGAATAGAGAACAATAATACCCTGTTCCGATATGGATACTTTTAGAGCTGCATAGCCTAAGAAGAAAAAAAAGCCTATTGGTTAACTAAAGAAAAAGCTTTTCTTGGGAAAGCCTAGCCCAAAGGGTTTTCCGCCAATCAGAGATCTGTAAGGTCAGAGTGCTGATGTTTGATGGAGCCAATAATTTTGTTTTATTTGTGTGCATCATCCTGAGTATTAAGATCCTATGTCACCCTTTGTAACACTCAGGCTGTTGGGTATTCAGGGTTACAAAACCTTGAGATCTGTACTCTTCCTTTATTAATTAATAAATATTTATTTATTTTATTTATTAGTTTGGCTACTGCATAAATTAGTTTGCTTTGGAGCCATCCTTCCTGAGCTAAGACAAAAATCTGTGAGCCGGAGGCTAAAAAACTGAGCTAGCTCACACTAGCTCAACTTAGAGGAAACACTGGTCACAACAATAATAATATTCAATTGAAAACAGGATGGTCCCCAAAAATATACAATGATGGTAAAACAGTTCTCTGGGGATGATGTTGTCCTATAGCTGATCCCAAGCAAATAAGTCCGATAATATCGATCGTGCAAAATTGTGGCAGATCTTCCCAGGCCATCCTTAACCCCGATGTTGTCCACATCATTGGTGGTGGTGGTAGTGGTGGCCCCTGTGTGAAAGCCTGGCGGAAGAGCTCCATCTTGCAGGCCTGCAGAACTGCATAAGATCCCGCAGGGCCCTGATCTCCGGGAGCTCGTTCCACCAGGTAGGGGCCGCCACCGAAAAGGACCTGGCCCTAGTCGCGGCGAGCCTTGCCTCCCGGGGGCTTGGAACCACCAGGCGATGTTGCGCCCCGGATCGAAGTGCTCTTGGGGGTATATGTGGGGAAAGGCGGTCCCTCAGGTAAGTCGGACCCTGGCCATATAGGGCTTTAAAGGTAAGTACCAGCACTTTGAAATGGATTCGGTATGCTATTGGCAGCCAGTGCAGCGCTTTCAGCCCAGGCTGGATGTGCTCCCACCTAGGGGCGCCCACCAACAGCCTGGCCACAGCATTCTGCATCAGCTGCAGCTTCCGGATTTGCGACAGAGGCAGCCCCATGTAGAGAGCATTACAGTAGTCTAACCTCGAGGTGACCATCGCATGGATCACTGTAGCCAGGTTATCGCAGCCGAGGAAGGGAACCAACTGCCGAATCTGCCTAAGATGATAAAATGCCAATCTGGCAGTGGCTGCCACCTGGGCCTCCATCGTTAAGGAGGGGTCCAGGAGCACTCCCAAACTCCTAACCTCCGACGCTGGCACCAACGGCACCCCATCGAAGGTCGGGAGAGGGTGCCCCAACCCCGGTCCGGTCCAACTCAGGCACAGGACCTCTGTCTTCGCTGGGTTTAGTTTCAGCCAGCTCAGCCTGAGCCACCCAGCCACGGCCTATAGTGCCCGGTTCAAATCTGGGTTGGAGCCCGACCGGCCACCCAACATCAGATAGAAATATTCTAGTGAATAATTCTTCACAGGACTGTGTGTGTGTGTTTCTCAAACTGGTTGGGCAAACACAGCCAGAGGCACCATTTGTGTCTTACAAATTGGAGGTTCCTTCCACCGAGATCATTGCTGCCATCAGAGAGGGCCAGGGGTCATTTCCTGCAGGAGTGGAGCTCCAGCAGTAAAGAACCCAGGGGGCGGGCACATGCAACAAGCCCCACCCCCTGCTCCCAGCAGCCCTCAGTCAGAGCAAGAAGCAGCCAGGTAAGTTGCAGAGCTCACCCCGCCCCCCCGGTCCAAAACAGTCCAGTGGCACCTTTAAGACCAAGTTTTATTCAGGTACAAGCTCTCCCTCCTCTTCGAGGACAGATCTGCACGTCCCCTGTCCCCCCCAATAGCTAGCAATCCAAAACAGTCCAGTGGGGCCTGAGCAGTGGGTGTTGCCTTCTGACAGACTTCCAGTGATGTCAGGGGGTGTGAAATATGCAAATGAGTTATGCTAATAGGTTATGCTAATGAGCTCCTGCACCTCTTTTTCTACAAAATGACCCCTGAGCCTCAGTATACGCTCCAAACTGTCAACAAATGCAATTTATACAGATGGTGTTAGAAAAACGTAAACATTTTCAAGAAGGGGATATTGTATTGGGAGGGGATCTGAACTTTTTGGCAAATTATAATCGGGATAGATCAAAGCATAAAAAGAAACTAAAACATTATTTTTTTGGCCCCCCGAAGGGGATTTTTTAATTGCATTTTATATAAGGACTACAAACTACAACGAAAATAGGGAGGGGAACTACAATTAAGGAGAAAGAAAAGGTACCCACTACTGACTAAAAACCCAAGAGAGGAGACCATCAAATTTGCTTAAATACAAAGCCACCCCATAAAACGCTAACATTTTAATGAACTTAGTCAGACATGCTAGTATATCTTTTAAATCTTAAATTTAAATGTTGATAAAATACCCCAGAGCATCTAATTATTAAGAACTATGTTTTCAAAGTCACAATTCAGAGTCCCTCAGCCTTCATTTTTTCTTATCCTGTCTTTTCTGCAGTTTGTAAGGACTTTTAGGAGCCGCCACCCCGGTCTCAGAAAGAGAGTCCTCTCCAGAAGACCCCGAGTCCAGCTCGCCACTGGACTTACTGTCCTTTTCCTCTTTTTCCACCTCCTCTGGCTCTCCCAACTGGATTCTCAAAAACTCCCGTGCTTTAAAAACAGTCAATCTTTTCCTTTTTATCCTGAAGTTTGAAGGTTATGCCCTCTGGAGTTAGCCACCTGTACACAATGGCATTTGTTTGAAGAAAAAGGATTAGATCTTTGTACTTCTTTCTCCTTTGTCTTATTTCAAATGGAATATCTTTCAGAATCCTGATAGTATTGTCCCCAATTTTCAAAGGTGATCCCGCTGTTGCTCTCAGGATAGAATCCCTCACATGCCTCTTCGAGAATCTCATTACTATTTCCCCAGGCAGATTATTTTTCTTTATATATCCGCAATATGACCTATAGACCACATCCATCTCGCTTATCAAAAGTTCCGCCTTCAGATCTGTCACTGGGGCCAATGCTTCGCTCATCATTTGCTTCAGATTCTCACCCTTAGTCTCTGGGACACCTTGGAAATAAAGGACCAAGTTTGACTTCTCCATTTGTAATTGTAAAAGCTGTTCTTCTGTAGAAACTTGCTTCTTTTCCAATTTTTGTACCCTTTTCTTCACCTTTTGAGCAGTGGCGTCAACTTCTTTCACCTTCTCAGCTGTTTGTTCTGTAATTTTAAGAGTCTCATTCGTTTGCTTTTGCTGAGTGGTGATACATTGGTTCATTGTTGACAGCTGTTCCTTGAGATTATTCATCTGATCCAGCAGGGGGCGCAGGGATTCTGCCAATGTTTTGGCCAGCTCGGTGGTTCCCTCCGGTCGTGGGCTCTCAACTACTTTCACTTTTGGAAGTTTCTCTTTCTCCGTCCTCTTCTCCGCCATTTTTATGAATTGTTTACTTTCGCAAAGATTTATAAAGTCTCTGAATATGTGC